CCAGGACAGGCTCCAAAGCAACACAGAGTAACCCTGTCTCCAAAAACCAAAAATTAAAAAAATATTTCCAGGTGTCATTGATGTTTTTGGCTCCACAATCTCTCTTTGAGTATGACAGATATGTTGATACAGATATACAGATAATCAAATTATCTTTGATATGTCTTCATTGAAATGATTAGAATTAAACACCAGATATAGATTCTCATTTACTGTCTGAGTCCATCCAAAAAGATCCAGAAGAAAAAGTCACACAGAAAAAATATGAAGACTATTCCATAAACTATATATATATTGTCTGTAAAAATGTGAGAAACACTACACACAGTGGATTCATTTGGAAAAATATGGTCATATAATGTATATCATGATGTAAAATCTATTTATATAGTAATAAAGCTATTCCACGGATTATATTTAACCAACTGTATAGTAAACCTACTGGGTCATAAAACACTTCTTTGTATAGCACCCAGTATAGTTAGTATTGTTCTTGACACAGTTTGAGAAAAGCTGCATCCCTAAAAGTCTTCCAGAATCTTAGAGCCTATTTCACTGTGATTGCAAACACAAAGAGTTGGGTAATCTGTCCAGAACCCAGGTCTTATTTTCTGTAGCATGTCTTTAGAACACAGAAGTCAGTCAGTTCTGAGCACAAATATACGACCAGTAGAATATTCTTTAGGAAGAGAAATAGGTACTCTGATGCAGTGATACAGGTTTTATGTTCTCCTTTTAGTTATATGTTTTATTAGACAGCTGGTATATTGATATAGAATTTTAACTTGAATTCATTTCAGATTAAATTGACCTGATTATAAACATTGCCTTTCAATTTTGTTCAAATTAAAATAAATCTTTTTCATACGTCATAACCTGAAACCTTGCCCAGTCAAAAATTTCCCAACAGCAGTTAAACAAGATCAGCGTAAAGTCCTGCCAGCAGGCTGGAATGGAGTTCTGCAGGATCAAATGAATTGGACTCAGTTAATAACACACAGCTGCTTTCATGTAATCATACAATGGACTCACCTACTTGGGATTAACCTCCTTCAGCCCAATGCCTGGTGACCTTTTATAGCATGGACATTCTTCTTTTGATCATAGAGACGGGAAAGGCAAAAAGACTTAAGTAACTTTGTATTAACTCTATCTGTTGTTCTTGCATCATTAGCCCCAAGCTATGAGCCTGGGCTAGAGATAGATCTAAGCATCATCCTCATAAAACAGAAGATGGAGTAATGGATTAGTATACACATAAAAACTGCCAATGCTGATGAAATATATTAGGTGACAAATTTATAATTACTTTTGCTGTTTAATGGTCTAATATAGTTCTGTATGTCAATTTTGATAAATTAATTGGTGCTTTGTTTTACCGTAATTGTTTCAGGCAGCTCAAGTTTCGAAAAATCAGCACCATACTTCACTGGGACATTTAATTTGATTTTCAGATAGACTAATTCACAAAATTACACTGAACTCTATGAGCAGTGTATTTTAAAGTCAAATTATATATTGCAACTAGAAAGCATTTTCATATTTGAGTCTAATGAGTTTATGAGATAGATATGGTAGTGTTTAAAACACACACACAAACACACACACACACACACACACACAAACACACACTCGGTCTTCCTCTTTTCCTGGAATATAATTTCCCTTTTTGACATGCTAACTAACTAATTAATCACTGGAAGCCATTAGGTACCTACAAGATGATCACTGACTGCTTGAAACACCAAAGTATAGAGCATCAAGGCTTTCAGATAATCTTGTAGGTCTGAGCCCCCAAAGTCAAAATTGAATTAAATTAGAGAGCACTTAGATGGTGTCCAAGAAGCAACTGCTTGTTTAGCATGCAGGAAAAGTACCCTCCCCATACACACGTAACTATGTTTACATGAGTGGTTTTGTGTTGTAACTATGAGAGACTCTGAGTTTATTCATTCAATATGCTCTGTAGGGTAAATCAGTACTTTTTAAATGACCCTAAAGACAGTTCAGCCAAAATGCAAATTACTTTTTATTATCTTTAATGTATTTAGCTGATGTTTCAACCTTTATATCTATCATTAATATGAGAATTTCATCTTCTGCTTTATTTGTGTATGAATTTTTAACTTTTTTCTGTTTTAGATTTAAAACATTTTATTTACTGTGTGTGTGAATCTTTTGCCTGTGTGTATGTATATGTACCATGTGCATGTCTGGTGTCCTCAGAGGTCAGGAGAGGGTAACAATTACCCTGGACATGGAGTTACAGATGGTTGTGAGTCACCATGTGGGTGCTAAGAGCTGAATCCTGTCTACTGCAAGAGCAGGAAGTACTCTTAACAGCCGAACCATCATCCCAACACCTTCATCTGAATTCTTAAAGAATGAATTGTTTCATAGCTAGGAAAAGTGAATAAAATTTGTAGCTCTTTTTAATTAAATTATCTTCTAAGGGAATATCTGTTCTAGTCCCCCAAATCAAACATTTAAATTAGCTTTTGTGCTACCAAATATAAAGTTATCAAATATAAAATATATCTATATTGCACAGAGAAACAAATGACTGCTGGAAATGTAATCAAGAATTCTCTGAACAAGTCTAGTGCTAAGTATAAGAAATGAACTCTAATTACCCCATATACCAAAGGTAGAAGGAGGGTACAGTCATGAATCTTATAGAACACAGTATCAAGACACTGGATTTTCAAGTGTGAAATGCTGTAGGTACTTTATTACATAGATAAGTATATTTATACTTATTTATCTATAAAATATAATCTATAAAAATAATTGATAATGTTGATCATGGATTCACAAAGTTGTTCTCAGAGAAGGAATAGAATCTTTCTTGAGAATGATTAAGTTGCTGGAAGTGAACAAGGATGATCAGGATCGGTTTTGTTAGTCACGTGGTGCTTAAGCTCATTTCTTTGTTCTTGAGCTTCAAGTTGTATTATTGAATGGGAATTCTTGAATGGGAAACAGTGATGTAAGACACTTAAAAATTGGAAGAGCATATCAATTTCACATATTAATTGTAGCCCAACTACATCAAAATTGACTTCTCCTATTTCTAAGAAACAGAGAGAGCAGATATAGTCAGAATTTTATGGGGGGGGCATACTTGCTCTTCACCTCAATTTCTTCTTTACATACAAGGTTACCTATTGACTGGCAGCAGATACTAATAGTATCTGTGTGTATGTGTTAAATTCAGATTTCAGTTGGTGTTAACTAGGCGATACCATTTATATCCAGGTCCTATTAACACAAAGTTTATGTGGAATGATTGAGATACTGATCTGATATTATACCTGGTTTCTTGGTAGATTGTGTAATTCTAGTTAGTTTTCATTAATGTCTTCATTATTTTTGGATTTTGAGACAAGGTTTCAGTCTGTAGCCTAGTCTGGACTGGAATTTATTGCTTCGCTCTGATTGACTTTCAACTCATGATAAACCTTCTGTCCCAGCCTTGCAAGTACTGGGATTATAGTCATGTACCACCATGGCCAGCTAATTTACACTGATGTTTGTGGAGCAACATCTAAATGAACAAGAATTATCTCTGAAAGTTCTGCAAGTAGCAATAAATATGAAATAACAGCAAGTTATTTTAAAAACATTTTAAAGGTTAATTTTGAGGTGGTTTGTATAGATCTTCCTTCCAAAACAATTCTGATTACTTGTAAGGACTGTTGTGTCTTGTCATTTCTAATGTGCCTCCCCCTGTCACATAGGAGATTTCTTAGATGACTATGTACCAAACATTTAAAATTTTATTTAGCAATATAATGTAGTTCATAAAAGTTTGACTCTGATGTGAATCCCTCTATATTCAGATTCCAGCTCTATCTTTAATACTTATTTAACTGTGGGAACTTTTTCAATGTCTCTACATCTGTGCCTCAATTTCTTACCAGTAAATCCTTACAGAGTTGTACGAGTGTAGCAATTTATGTAACGTTTGTTGAATGTGATCCAGTACACAATGACTAGTAAATTATTAGCTTTTGTTATTTATCAGAGAAAAAGATGGCTACCCAGATGAAAGACATTATCACATTTCTCTCTGAAATAGTGGTCCCAAGGTCCATATACAAATAAAGAAGACACCCTTTTTGGAAGGAGTCCTTAGATAGTATTTTGCAGTTGAGTTGTGCTGGAGTAATTCGCAAGGCATTACCTGGTTGATAAAATATCATTATGATTTGATTCGCAAGTGGTTGTAAATAAGCGCTGAACACATTTAAATTTCAGTTTGTCTCAGAAGGAATCTTAAAGGTTTACAGTTCTTTTAACAATTGGAGATTAAAGATAGAGTGGAACTCTGTGTTTACTAAGACACAAAAATTGTCAGGGCATTCCTTTGTAAAAATTCAAACCAATAAAAGGAAAAAGCAAAACGCAAAGCATTTTCCTGAGCCATTCCCACCCCACCCCTTTAATTTCTAGACAGAAATTCAATAATTTGGATACAATTTTGTCAATATCATTCAAAACACAGACTATGACTGGAGCCAGATAAACAGGTTCACAAATTAGAGAAATTTTTCTCGGCGTTCCCATGGCAATCTGCATTATCCACATTATCATCACCAGGAGTTTGTGAAGAACGCAAACTTATCTCTGAAAGTTAGTTTGTCCCTAGGCTAATACCCTTTAATTTGGACTGAGATACTGGAACGAGTCCTAAGACTGAAACCACCTTTGCTAAGTTTACAAGCCATGGGAAAGTAGCTTTGTTTTCTCAAACAAGTCTGGACACTGGTGTCTTTGTCTTCAGATTTCCAATCCTACGAACTCCAGCCCTGAACTCTGTCTCTGCCTTTTTCTAGACTCCTTTACCTACTGGGAAGCCTTGTTGCTATCTCTGTGGCAAGGCAGGGCCTCTCCTGGCACGCAAACCTGCCAGGTGAATCCGCCCCTCAGGGGCGTGTCAGTACCATTTCCTGGAGCAATCTCCCAGGGTGGCTCCACTTTTCATTTGAGCTCAAATCCTTAACTGTCTACTCTGCAGCTGCCAGACCTGCTCCTGCTACTGCTCAGGTAACTCATCTCTTCCTGGCACCACCGGGGATAAAAGGTGGTTGATAAAGGCCCTCTTTGCGTGTCCCTGCTTGCCGGCCTGCCCTGTTATCATTTTTCTCTGTTTATTCCTTAGGGAGAGCACCCGGGGAAACCCTTTCTGACCACTGAGAAGATGATGAGCTCAAGCTATTGGAGTGAGAGCAGCAGCGGCAGCTGTGGGACCCAGCAGCCCACAGAGGTGCTGCAGTACCAGCCTCAGCATTACCACTGTTACCACCAGTCAAGTCAAGGCCAGCAGCCTCCAGAAAAAAGTGTTGTGTATGAGCGAGTGAGGACCTACAGTGGGCCTATGAACAAGGTGGTGCAGGCCTTGGACCCCCTCGGCTCACGGGAAGTGCTCTCCCCGCTCAAAACTGCCTCCTCCTACCAAAATTTGGTTTGGAGTGACCATTCTCAGGTAATAAAAGATAGCTTTTCCAGGTTATTGGGGGACAAGAAACACATCTTAAACCTCACTTCTCTTTCTTTTTCATTTGCTGTAGTCTACAGGACAGCTCTTGGTGGATTGCAGTTATGTATGTTTTGGACAGTCTCCCAAATTCTGTCTCTTAGCTGTATTTTTTCATTTACCAGTGCCTGTGGTTAGTTGGTTGCCATTCCAATGATTTACATAACCTAACCAGAGCATAGGAAGCCACATTTTTAAAATTGAAGTTGATTGAAAGATGTGTTCTAAGCGGCAAACCATTTTGCCTGTAACGACAAAAGTAGTCATCAACTTAAATGCAAAAAGGTTTATTTTTAGAACAGTTCCCCACTGATTCGCTTCATATCAGGAGCAAACAGGTGTTTTGTGCCAAGTAGAATGATATAGAGACAATGGCATATATGGAGTGACGTGTAGTTATTTGTGTTCAGCTAATAGTATGCTGATCCTGGCTAAGTGACAGGTGCATATGTCTTAGAATTTTCTTATGTGTCAAAATGACACATTGATTCTTATACGTACCAGCTGAATAATTTGTGGAATGTTGGTAGGAGACAGGTTATAGGATTTGAAAAGCAAGAAAAAGGTAAATGAGTATTATATGAAAGCTACAAAAGACGGATCTCTAAGACACTCTTGAGAACATAATAATTTCTAAGATTTTTATTTGTTTTGCTTTTAAAATCAATATCTGTGCTAATAGTCAGACAAGCACATGAAAAATAATGTGGAAAGATGATATAAAAGGACAGGTTAATTTCCATTTTGATTCTTTAACTCTATCTTTATATAAAATGTACATATTTTAAGCTTTCTGTGAGATTCTATCCAAACTGAAATTGTATTTACAAAGTATACTATGAAGACCTCATAAAATGATTACTGGGATCTTATTCTACCTTACATTACTATACCAACTGGATACAGATCACTTTTGGAAAGCCCATAATTCAAGTACACTATGAAGCAATATTATTAAAATGTACAATGGAACTTAAAAAAGATTTCCTCAAAGATACAGGTTGCTTCCAAATCATAGGCACAACAATTTTACTATTGTTTTATTCAACACTTAGCATAATTTCAGGGAAAAATACACAGCAAATCTAGGATTTAATACCAATAATTTCCTTTTTCTTTTTATTAAAGATAATTTTTTCCATAGAATATGTTCTGTTTAGTGCTCCTCCAAGATCCTCCCATCCAAATTCACACCCTTTCTGTCTGTAGGAAGGAAAAGCTGTCATCTGTATTGAGTTCAAGGTGTAGAAAATTATGAAAGTTAAAAAAAAATCTTAGGTTGTATAAGTGATCATAGTGATGCAAACTCACATTCCAATATGCAACATTAGCATGTTAATGAGCAAGAAATTTGGTGGCATCTTAGCTCCTTAATACCTCCAAAAGGATGAAGGTTGAAAACAGCAATTACTATTATCCTAGGAATGCTGAGGTCATCCTACTTCTCAGTTTTTTCAGCCCTCAGCCTTTTTACATGCTAGTAAAAGAATAATAGATACACACTTAAGAGCAAAATATTAAAAAATAATAAATATTGAGTATAGGACAATTTTGAGAATTGTGTTTTATTGTTTGTTCCTTGTTTCAACTTTCCTTTTTAATAATAATGTCATGTCCAAACTAAAATGCTTAAGCTTTTTATAAAACTTTCCATCTTTTATATGGAATTTGCCAAATTAATCCCTCTAAGACTATTTCCATCCTGAAACTTAGTTCTTTGTAGAAAAATAATAGTACAGATCCTTAGGGGCAGAAAGTGTAACCTTAGTAGCTGAGATAGGAGACAGGAATGGATTTCACTGTGATATCTGAGTTATTTATCACTAAAGAGAAATAAAAGTATGGGTGAGTGATGAGGAGGGAAATGAGATTCAAGCTATGTGGTAGAAAGGAAGAAGATTCCCTTGGTAGAGAAGAGAAATTTTGACTATAAAATTTCAGATTGACTTGGATATGAAGTCCAATAAAAGGGACTACAACAAATCAGCTTTTTAGGATAGTTACCACAATGATAATGATTAGAAAGCCCTTCTATTCAGTTCTCCTGTTTTCCTGTTTGTTGGTGGGATAATATTGTGGCATTATGTAAAGTATTCCTAGATGTGATCTGAAATTGCCTTCGTGCTGACAAAATGTCTACACTATAATGATAACTTTATTATATTCCATCTAAGCACTGGGAAGTAAATATTGTTCAAAACTCCTTTTACAGTTTTAATAAAATTTCTCTTTAAGATGCCATATTTCAGATGAGTTGATATGTGGCAATTATGCAATGTCAGTCAAAGTGAAGCCCCGATAATGAGGATTAACACTCAATTTCTGGCCACGATGAATTCAATTAAGCTTTTGCTTTATCTTGGTGAATATATGATATTTAGAGAACTCAGATTTTAAAATAGTTTTTCCAGTAGTAAAATATTTACTTTGAGAAACAATTTATGCCGCATTGCTTTGTTTCATGAATTTTAATCTTAATTTTATACTTAACTAAATGTCATTTACAAATATCTAACATTTTCTATCCATGGTGTTTTAGAACATATTTAGTTATTTCTTTTTTTAAACTACTGTGCTCTTGTGTACTAAAAATACGTTTATGGATATAAACATTTATATTTCTGTCTATATGATACATAATATTGCTTTCATTTCTTTTCTATAATTGATGAGACATACTTATGGCTCTCTTGTTATTATTTTGTCTGATTAATAGGTTATTTCTCAAATAAAATTAAGTGTAGATACCAGTTGCTACTAAGTTATCTGAATTAATAGTAGAATTTAAATTATTAGGTTTGCCCTCAGGAACAAAAATAATCATACAAAGTCAGAAACACTTTTAAGCCCAATATGGTCTTACAAATAAATGAATAATGTTTTAGAAGCCACTTAAAGCCAAAGAAAACAATAACAACAAAACCCTCTATAATTCAATCCTTAACGCTTAAATATTAAACCACCAAAATTAACTCAAAATGGCATACTGTCTTAAATGAACAACACTGATGTGAATTATTCATTGGACTTATATTTTTTCCTTTGGCTAATTTAAGTATTCATGAAGGTCAAGATATTTTCCATGAATACTGAGAAACTGTTTTGAGAAAGAAAAATGGATCAAAATTAAATATTTTAAATTCCAGTCATTCAGTGAACAGATGCTTCTTAAGTGCCTATTTTACAGAAAATTGTGTGATCTGAATAAATACCATTTGCTTGTCACAGGAAAGTCCACTTTGGGGGCAAACACACAGTCTGGGCTGTAGGTGGCACAAGCCGATGTACAATTTAAAATATTTGTTTATATGTTGCCATGAGGATTTTATTAAATAAAATGTTTGGTTTTAATGTATGGGCTAATTTGCCATTCTTTTTCATTTAAAAACTTGTAACAAAGAATCTGGCCTCAGAGAGCAGCCTAGAGGTAAATGTGAATTTGGAAATGACCTTCACTGCCAGTTCACCTTGGTCTGTCTGTGTTACTATTTTCCTTTGTCTTTGTTTGCAAAGGCTGTGAATGACTTCCCTACTGTGTTAAAATTTCTATTTACTACCAGATTTTTTTTTTCTGTTCTGGGTGGAGAGGTGTGTTGCTTTGAGAAATTGTTGTTCAAGGGTGTGGTCAGTAAAGAGAATGATTGTTCAGGGAAGTAGGTTGCCTGAATAACGAATGAGGTCATGGGATAAAGGGGCTGGTGTTTTCAGAGTTGGTCATCCCCTTTATGCTCACAATTAAATGAAGCTTTAGAATTTGTTAGCGCAAGTAATTGCTGGGTGAAAATGTTCATGGCAATTGTCTCCTGTTAAAGCAAGTCTGATAAATTTCTGGGCCAGCTTTCAGCCAGTGACATTTACAAGCCGTCCTGGTGCCGCAGTAATGGGCAGGGAATGTAGCCAGTGGAAGAAGAGCAAAGCATTTTATCAACCGATCTTCGCAACTTATGGTGAAACTACTGGGAGATTTGTCATGCTCTTAAGCTTCGTATAAAAACTAAAGCGTTTCTAAATAAATAGATTGAAATGGACTCTGCATCAGCAGCTATCCCAGTAGAATGTCTTCTTTACATTTGTAGGAGCATATATCCTAGTAATAGCTAAAGACAGAAAGCAAGCACTGAAAAGAACTATATATTCTGTTTTTGTTCCCTTTCATTTAATAGTACTTTTTAAAAAGACCGAGGGAATAAGAATAAGGAATAACTATCTTAAGTGAGGAATTTGGGCTTGAAAGAAGAAAAAAGTGGAGCTACTTTTTCTTTGCTTTACATTACAACACAATCATAGACTTTTATTCTAAGTAAATGAAGTGTTTGTCTCATCAGGATGGGGAAAATGGTGCTTATAATTTACATGTTTCTTGTATAAAACATTGAATAACATCTCAACAATAACCTAAGGCAGGTGTTTGACGATGTTACTGACTTTGAAAGGTTCTAACAAAAGCATTTTTCACACTATTCAGGAACATTATTCAAATGCCAGTGTGCCTTGGGAAATTCTGTCAGGATAAATGTCAGGTAGATTTAAATATATTACGGTTTCAGATTCTGTGTTTTTATGGGGTGTGGATTTTTTGTGTGTATTTCTAATGCTTTTTCTTTTTATTCTCGTTTATTATTATTTTTAATTATTGTTTTATGTTTTATTAAGAGAAAAAAGGGACTGGAATTAATTGGATGGGGAGTTGGGGAGATTTGGGGAATGGGTGAAGAAGGGAAAATTGTGGTCAGAAAATATTGTATGAAAAAAATTATTTTCAATTTAAAAGGAGCTATAAAAATACAAAAAAAAGAGTCAGGCAGTAGGGATGCATGCTTTTAATCCTAGCATTTGGGAGGCATACAGGTGAATCTCTGAGTTTGAAGTCAGCGTTGTCTACAGAGTGAGTTCAAGGATAACCAGGGATACACAGGGAAACCCTGTCTAGAAAAACCAAAAAAGTTTAA